GGTGCAGCCACTTTAGAAAACAATCTGGCAGTTCCTCAAAAAGTTAGTCATAGTGTTACCATTTGATCCAACAATCCCACTCTCAGGTATATAGCCAAAATAACTGAAAACATGTTCACACAAACACATGTACACTAATGTTCATGGCAACATTAATCATTATAGTAAAAAATGGAAATAAGCTAAGTGTTCGCTGGATGAATGAAACGTGGTATGTCTGTACAATGCACTATTATTCAACTATAAAAAGGAATGAGGAACTGATACCTGCTGCACCACAGAGGAACCTCAAAAACGTTACGCGAAGAGAAAGAACCCAGGTACAGAAGGCCACATGTGTACGATTCTGCAGGCTCAGAAAATGTATCCCTTCTCTCTTCTACATTCTTTGGTGAGTCTAATAATTAAATTGATATAAAACTGATTAACATGAGAAAAACAAATTTAATTTCATACATAAGGGAGCCCTAAAGGTATGAGACATAAGAGCAAATCGGGCAGTTGAGGCTTGTATGCCTACCTGAGCAAAGGAATAGGATATGGACCTGGGGCTTCGAAGGGGAGAAGGGTAATTCACAGAACAGATATTCGGTAATCAGATATTTACCCTGCCAAACAGATAGGTCTTTCAGATTAAAAAAAAAAAAAAAAAAAAACTATCTGTGGTAATAGCCCTCTTTCTGGGAAGGACCCCCATCTAAATTCTTTCAGGTAGTTAAGGGAGAAGTAGAAGTTTTTCTCGAGTCTGCAACATCTTGATTGACTGCAGCTCAAAATAATCCACATGCCAAAGTGACACATTTTGGGGTGTCTGCTACCCTTCAATTCCTTTTGTATGAAATGTCCAGAATAGGAAAGTCCATTAAAAAAAAAAAGTAGGTATTAGTGGTTTCCAGGGACTGAGGGAAAGGAAACAGGGAGTAAGGGCTAATAGATTCCTTTTGGTAGTGATGAAAATGTTCTTGAATTAGACAGTGGTAATGGTTGCACACTCTTATGAATACATTAAAAAACACTGTATTGTACACTTTAGAAGCATGAATTTTATGGTATGTGAGTTATATCTCAATACTGTCGTTACTTTTAAAATGATGGTCTGTGTTGAAGGGCACAGGAGTGGACTTAAAAGAGCTCCCAAAGGCCTAAGCTTGGACAGTATGAACAACAAAATAAAAAATGATAGCATTGGATTCTAACCCATAGAATAAAATAAATATCCATGAGTACATACTGATATGAAGAAAGGAAGGAAGGAAGGAAGGAAGGAAGGAAGGAAGGAAGGAACGAAGGAAGGAAGGAACGAAGGAAGGAAGGAACGAAGGAAGAAGGAAGAAGAAAGAAAGAAAAAAGAAGGAAAGGGAAGGAAAGGAAGAAAAAGAAAAGAAGCAAGGAATGAACAAAGGGTCAATGGGACAAAGGAAGGAAAGAAAGAAGTGGAGGGATAGCCCTTCCTCACAGCAGAATTCCAATTTCAAAATATAGGAGAAATGGAAATAATCACCACTAGGCAAATAATACAGTAATATTTGCTGCAAGTGACACCCACTGATGAACACTAATATCACTAGGTTAAAGTATGATAAACAGGACTTGTGCAAAATTTCAAGGTATCTCCCAGAAGATACCCATCAATTTAAAAGAGGAAAATAATAACTTTACAGCAGAGAAACCTGACAGACATCTCCTTAAGTAAGAGGTCAAAGTTAGCATCACTGGGGACCCCTGGCTGGCTTAGTCAGTGGAGCAGGTGACCCTTGATCTTGGGGCCATGAGTTCAAGCCCCATGTTAAGTGTAGAGATTTCTTTAAAAAAAACCAAAATCTCATGTAGAAACTAATTTGACAATAAACTATTTGTAAAAAAAAAAAAAACAAAAAAAAAAAAACAAAATCTCAAAAAAAAAAAGTATCACTGTTTGTAAGTCATATCAGCATGATTTATCCTCTTATATGATTCACTGACAAAAATGTATTTCTTCAATCTAATTATGAGAAAGTATCAAACAAACCAAGGGGCATTATACAACATAGCTGACCAGTATTCTTCAAAAGTATTAAGGTCAGGAAAAACTGAGGACCTGTCACTGTTGGAGGAGACTAAGGAGAAATGACGACATGGGCTCCTGAATTGGATCGTGTACAAGAGAAAGAACATTCGAAAACCAAATTAGGTCTCTAGTACAGCTAAAAGTATTGCATCAATGTTAATTCTCTGGTTTCAATAATGGCACTATGGTTACGTAGGTTGTTAAAATTAAAGGAACCTGGGTAAAGGGTTAATGGAACTCTCAGTACTATTTTACAACTATTCTGTAAATCCCAAATTACTTCAACACTATTTCTAGAGTTATTTTACTCTGAAAGTCAGTTATGGATTCTGTATTTGCTTTACAGAGTAATATGTTGCTAACAGAATAATATGAAAAGCTGCAACCTAGTGACATCACAGCACACGGTCTTGGAAACATCGGGTTTAACGTTTTCCCTGCCACATCTCCTTACTTATATACATTTTGGCCAGCAGATGGCAGCACTCAACCAAGGTTCTTCTCAGCACAACTCCAGGCAAAACCTGAGATTGCAAAGAGGGAGGTAAAAGGAGACATCCCGACCCAGGAGTTGAAGGTGACGATGTCATTATATGATGTACAGTCACAATAGGGCGATGCCATTTTTATTGGCACTTAAGTGATGAGACAGGAAGGAAAGAACTTGTAAACAGTGATGTAAGGCTTGGAGGCAAAATTATCTACCCCACCCCATCTCCACCCTGCCCCACTCCAATCCTGGGGCATGAAGGAGCCCTGGGCACAGCGTCCACTGGGTGCTAATGCCACACTGGTGAAAGAATAACAAAGGATGACTTGCCAATGTTTTTAAAGCTTTCAAAATATGAATTACAAAGAAATGATAAATTATTAATATTATAAGAAGTTTAATCATTTTTAAATACAACTAATAGCAATTTTTTTAGGCAACTGTATACTTGGAAGAAACTCCACTTGGTTCTCTCTCTCCTCTCCTCTGTCTTCTCTCCCAAAGCCCAGAACTGCTCCCATGAAAGTCTGATACCCTACCCCCTTATCTCAGCATCTAAACTAGTTGCTGAGCCCCAGGGCAGGCCAGGGACTGGTTTAAAACACCAGAGCCAGCAAGTGCCAGAGCTAGAATTTAAAGCCAAGACTTTGGGTACGTCCAGTCCTTCCACTGGAACGGAAACTGGTTCTGAGCTCCTGCCATTTATTTGCAAATGAGTGGGCTCAAAGGCATCAGGGATCCAGGCTGATTTTTGCTGGAAAACCATCAGGATTCCCTGATGAAGGTGAGCTGTGCTAAGCCGAACCCTGCCCCCTCCCCTCAATGGTTCAGACATATAAAATATGTATTGTAATGTTTTCTAGTCTGATTTTCCTAGACTGAGGATTTTTGTTCCTCATTCCACTACCCCACCCACCTAACCTTTTCTCTCCCCCATTGAAGTAGGAGAGAGGATAATGGCTGTGAAATGTAAAACCCAAAGCTTCTGACCAGAGCTTCCTGCTTCTTCTGAAGCTTCTCCCAGAGTGACCTCAATCACTAGGCCTGAAACCAAACAAACAAAACAAGAAATCTATTTAAAGATATCCTTTCTACCACTTCTAATCCATAGCCTACTGCTAATGGACAGATGGGCATTGTGGTGTCTGCTCAGAGCTCCCCAGCAATACTAAAATACCCTGTTAACGCTCACTGCCTGGCATCTTTAGACATCCTTTCCCCCTTCCAGCCCTCCCAGCCCATTCGACAAAGCAGCAGATTGGATGTGTAGAAAGACGTGGCTTTCAGAATCAGCCAGACTCAGCAGGGCTCCCTGGGGCCTAGGCTTGAGAGATATTAGGCTTGACAGAGAGGGCTTAAAAAATCCCAACAGGAGCTGTTCCTGAGTTTCTGGTACAGGCCCAAGGTTGGGGGTCCCTGCAGGCAGCTATCACTGTGGGAGCCACAAGGTCTAGTCCAAACCAGCCAGCCCAGAGACCCACCCAACTTACTTCTGTCTTCCTTTCCAGCCCAGAGTCCTTGTAGTTAGTTCTGACCCACAATATACTTGCTGCTTTGGAGCCTCTTCCCCCATCCACAGCAGAATGTGAAGGGATGTGGGTGAGAGGGCCTAAGTCCTGTGATGCAGGAATCCCTGGCTTTACATAACACAGGCTCCGCTCTGCTGACAGTGCAAAACAATTAGGAAAAGAAGCAACTCAAGAAAGACATGCATGGCTGTGAACATTTTGATTTGCTGTAATTTCCTCCCCACGCCTCACCCCCAGTTGTCAAGGATGACACTTGGTTTTAACCAGAAGGAAAAGAAAAATGAAGCACAGCCCTGTGCCCTACTCTGATCTGGTAGCTTTCATTTTAAGAACTCAGTCTAAGTCTGGTGGCGGAATGGGGGGTGGGTGACGACACAGTTTGTTTTTTTACTTCAATATACATCTTTTTAAAATAAGAACATTTGTGGGGCACCTGGGTGGCTCAGTTGGTTAAAATAAGAACATCTGTCCATTGTCTGTGCTACTGTCCCAACCACGGCAGAGGGGAGATCTTTGAGTGTCTCAGGGGCCTAGAGGCCTGCGAGGCTTGGACCCAACGCTGCACCAGGCTGAGGTCTCCTGTTTGAAAGGAGAAAGTGGGTGCTAGGATGTGCGAGGAAGTGTCTGGGCTGTGTGGCTCCTGGGTTGACCCAACCCAACCCAAAGCTCCCATCTGCCTCTTGGATGCTCTCTCTCTTTTTCTGTTGATGTTTTGCATTTCTCTCTCCAAGTCTTTACCTGGCTCTGGCTCTCTCTCCTCTGTCTCACTTTTCTCACTGATTCTGCTGATGTGGGTCCTGGTCGTTTCTCCCTGGGGCTGACCCATCTGCCTCTCTCCTCTGCGTTCCTGGGTCCCTTGGACCGCCCTCCGCTGATCCCGCACAATGTGTCCCACAAGACCTCACCGCCTTAGGGCATCTGAGCTGGCCCTGTGATGAGGACTCGTAGTGTCGTTCTTTGCAAGGCAGGCAGGTTCTATGTGAGCCTGCTGTTGAGCCAGGTTCAGGCCCTGCATTTCACTCCCTGGCTGAATGAGTCCGCAGTGGGCTTCAACACCCTGGTGCAGGGCACCTGGGGCCCAGGGGAGAGCGGCGCAGGCATTCCCTTCCCGTCCAGGCGGTCCTTCGGCAGCGGCGGGCTCCTCACCACCACGGAAGGGTTCCCGGAGGCGGTCCGGCAATCCGAGGTGCCACCCCTTCCGCTACCGAATCCGCCCGCCCGCACATGCCTCCTGGAGGTGGACGGGAAGCTGCAGCTGGGTGAAGGTCTTCTGAGCCAGCCCCGGAGGGCACACCGGGATGCTGAGTGGCAAATACAGTTTCAGCCCACAAACAAATAAGTAAGTAAATAAAATAACATTTTTTATAGTTAAAAATAACATTTTCACGTTGAACCAAATTAAATTATATAAATATATGCCTTAATATGTAATTCCCATTTAGAATTCACATTTGTCAGATTGTCCTTAAAAATGTCCTTCTACTTGTTCATTTTTAAGTAGGGTTTCAGGGGTGCCTCCCTGGCTCAGTCAGAAGAGCATGCGACTCTTGATCTGGGGGTTGTAAGTTTGAGCAGTGTAGAAAATACCTAAAAGAAAAATCTTTTTTTAAAATAAATAGAAAAGAGGGTGGCTCAGCTGAATAAGCGTGGGACTTCTGCCCAGGTCATGATCTCCCGGTTGGTGCGTTCCAAGCCCCGTATCGCGCTCTGCGCTGACAGTGCAGTCTTCTTGGGTCTCTCTCTCTCTCTCTCCCCTCTTTCCGCTCATGCTCTCTCTCTCAAAATAAACTTTAAATAAACAATTAATTAAGTAGGCTCCAATAGCAGGACTACACATTGCACATGTTTTTTTATGTCCCCATTGGTCTCTTAATCTACAACATTCCCTTTATTCATTTTTCTGACTCCTTGGAGACTCATGATCAGTTGATTTGGAAAACACTTGCCTCCTGGGTGTGTTTGATGGCTTCTTCCAGATGTGGCTTAGCTTGTTTCTGTATCCTTTAAGTTTCCTATAACCTGGTAGTTAGATCTAAAACAGAGATTCAGGGGGCACCTGGATGGCTCAGTCAGGTAAGCGGCCGACTTTGCTCAGGTCATGGTCTCGTGGTCCGTGGGTTTGAGCCCCACGACAGGCTCTGTACTGACAGCCAGCTCAGAGCCTGGAGCCTGTTTCAGATTCTGTGTCTCACTCTCTGTGCCCCTCCCCAGCTAGTGTTCTGTCTCTCTCTGTCTCAAAAATAAATAAACATTAAAAAAAAACCAAAAAACAGAGATTCAGATTAACTTTTTTTTTCTTTTTAATTTTAGAGAGATCGAGAGAGCAAGCAGGGGAGAAGGGCAGGTGGAAAGAGAAAGAGAATGTTAAGCAGGCTCCACACTCAGCATGGAGTTTGACACAGGGTTCCATCCTAGGACCTTAGGATCATGACCTGAGCCAAAATCAAGAGCCCAGTCAATCAAATGACTGAGCCACTTAAGCACCCCTGGGTTAAATGTTTTTTAGAAGCCAGACTTCTAAGGGGCACCTGGCTGGCTCAGTCAGTAAAAGTATGTGACTCTTTATCTCAGGGTTGTAAGTTTGAGACCCACCCTGGGTACAAGGATCACTTAAAAAGAAAATTTTTTTTAAATTTTTTAATGTTTTATTTATTTATGAGAGAGAGAGAGAGAGAGAGACAGCGACAGCGTGAGGAGGGGAGGGTCAGAGAGAGAGGGAGTCACAGACTCTGAAATAGGCTCCAGGCTCTGAGCTGTCAGCACAGAGCCCGATGCAGGGCTCGAGCCCATGAACCGCGAGATCATGACCTGAGCCGAAGTCGGACGCTTAACTGACTGAGCCACCCAGGCGCCCCAAAAAGAAAAATTTTTTAAGTGCCAGAATTCTAAGGATGTTTTTATAAAATGGAAAAAGTATCTCACAGAAAGACTGACAGACATAAATGACAATTATGTAAAGTATCACACACGAATCAACTGGTACTGCTCAATTAGACAGCATTTATCTTAGTCTCATGAAACATAAAACCTACTTACTTATTCATTATATGGACAAAAGTCTACTTATAATTCTACCTTTGGAATCTCATAAGTCACAAATATATGCCCTGATATGGCTTGGAAGAAATCCACATAAAATAAATGAGAATATTTAAATCTTTTACAGGAAACACCTGTTTTTTCTTGGGAGCCTGATCTATTTCCATTTTCTGATTCACAGCCCTATCCTGACCCTACCCCTGATTCTGATCCTGGTCCAAACATCCACTTCACACCTGCTCTGCTTGGTCACTCCCTCAGCCCCAACCCCATAAGTAGAAGAAGATTGGACATTTGAAAGTTTACCTTGTTCCCAAAGTTTAGAGCTTCTAATTTCAAAACTTAATTAACCCCAAATTCTAAATAGTTTACCTTGTTTTGTGGAATAAAGAATTTGTTCTATGAACATGTGTCCTACTCAAACAAGCCACCTTAAAGTGATCTCAGATATTTCTTCTGTTCAAGGAAATGTGGAGCCTCTGGATCACCTTAAGACAAAGATAGCTCTGGGGGCACCTGGGTGGCTTAGTCGGTTGAGCATCCAACTTCAGCTCAGGTCATGATCTGCCCATTTTTGAATTTGAGCCCCAAATCTGGCTTTCAGCTCTCGGCACAGAGCCTGCTTCAGATCCTCTGTCCTCCTCTCTGCCCCTCCCCCACTTGCACTCTCTCTCCCCAAAATAAATAAACAATTAAAAAAAAAAACAACCCAGGATAGCTCTTGCCTTTTATGATGGTCATGTAACACTGAGCAGTAGCTGGGAAGGATATGCTCCATCTCTAAGAGTACTCTCAGAATAAATCAGTCCATTGAAGAAAACAAGGAGGCAAAAAAAAGAAAAAAAAAGGTGAGTTGCATTGGAGGAATGCAACTGTGTGCTCACATGTAGGTAAGAAACAAAGGGAAAGACTATAGGGGGACACCTATCTTAGATCTGCCTGAGTCTGAGAAGTGTAACTGCAGAGAGATTGAGGGTATGGGCTGGGAGGAAGACTAATTTTAATGTATAGCCTTTGAACTATCTGCATATATATATGTATATATATATTTTTTTTACCATGTGCACATATGACTTTTTCAACAATTACACGTCGTCTTTTTCTTTTTTTGTTAAATGTATTGCTATGTGTTACCATTCTTGGGAGGGTTTGCATTTTCACATGTCTTCAGCTAAAGACATCTGACAGAATTTCAGGTGTTGGCTGTTAGAATAGGGAAGATATTTTGACCAGGAGATAGCCTTTCTCAATTCTTCTGAAATTGTTATGAGAGCTCAAGACTGTCTCCATTATGCTTCTGGGGGAGGTATGTGATGGGCTATCTTTATATTTGGGCAACTCTCCAGAAACAGAATGCCCTGGTCAGGCAAGGGTGGCCGTGGCCTTACCCGCTCCTCTCCAAGGTGAAGCCCTACTCTCCCCCAGCCAGAGCAGAGAGAGGTATTTTTAACCTTGGTGTTGGCTTACACAGAGGTTCAGGTATTCTCTGGGGTGTACTATGAGACAAGAAAGCTGAGATCTGACACTCAGACTCATTTGCCCTACCTCAATGTGCTGATTTTATGCACCTTGGAGAATTGGACTATAAAAGCCGTAATAAGTGAAAACTATTTATTACAGTTCCCCAGAAACCCTTTGGATATCATATTCCTTTTGTTTCTGACACAGAAGTGTAGTACAGGGATGGGCAGCTCACCCCACCCCCACCCCTGTGGGGAAGGGGATAGAAAAATTACCTGCACGTCACCTGTCTTAACTAGACCAGGAAGAGAAACCAGATGTGGGTCTATTACAAAAGAACTAGAATTACAGGTAGGTCATTTAGGTCCTCTTCAAAAGGTGGTGCGCATTAGTCATAAGATCTAATAGCACATGCATGAAACAAATCGAGTCAACAGGAAATTGATCATGTTTCCATGAGGTGAAAAGAGAAGTTGAAATATGTGTGCTACACGAAAAGATTTGTAGAAAATTGGAGGGTTTTGGGGGTTTTCCACAAAATGAGTGTGAAGGTATATGGATTTACAGATTTATTAACAAAACAGTGATACAAACATATCACTTAAGTAAATATATGTCCCTACAAGCACCAGCTTCGCAAGTTCTGGGCTAGAAAGTAACTAGTCTAGGCCCATTTGGGGATAATTGTCTCTTCCCTTAAGAGAAAGGAAGGTAAATTTCAGCAGACTGTGAGTTTGTTTCAAACAAACATATACGCACAATAGGAAGATAAGTCTATGGAAACCATCATAATTCTGGTTACAAGACTATGTGTTTCTTTAATTTGATGGCCTTTCAGAAAATGGAACCCAATGAAGATTCTCAATCAAATTCAGTCCAGGTTTGGTTCCTCAGGAAACTAACAATAGAACTCCCCTATGACCCAGCAATAGCACTGCTAGGAATTTACCCAAGGGATACAGAAATGCTGAGGCATAGGAGCACATGTACCCCAATGTTCATAGCAGCACTCTCCACAATAGCCAAAACATGGAAAGAGCCTAAGTGTCCATCAACAGATGAATGGATCAAGAAGATGTGCTTTATCTATACCATGGAATACCACATGGCAATGAGAAAGAATGAAATCTGGCCATGTGTAGCAACATGGATGGACCTTGAGGGTGTTATGCTGAGCGAAATAAGTCAGGCAGAGAAGGACAAATATCATATGTTTGCACGTATAGGAGGATTAGGAGGAACTTGACGGAGGACCAAGGGGGAGAAGAAGGGCGGAAATGGTGGGGGAAAGGGAGAGAGGCAAACCATGAGAGACTCTTGAATGCTGACAAAAACTGAGGACTGATGGATGTGGGGGGGAGGGGAGGATGGGCATAGAGGAGGACATTTATGGGGATGAGCACTGAGTGTTATGTGGAAACTAATTTGACAATAAACTATTTGTAAAAAAAATAAAATAAAATAAAATAAAATAATAAAAAAATAAAAAAATAAAAAAAAAAGAAAATCCTGAAAAAAAAAAACAAAACAAAAACAAATTCAGTCCAGGTTTTTTGTGTTGGCACTGGTCTAGGAATAAGCTTGCTCCTAGCAGTCTCCCAAATGACAGTGAACTAAGAACTGGCCACTCACGTACCACTGACACAGAATGCCCTCGGTTACAAGGCAGGACAGCTAACATGCGCTTTACAGCTGTCTGTCTTGTTCCAGATTCCAAACATCTGTTTGGAACTTCTCCAGAAGCCCTCAGAGCTGGAAGGGAGGAGGACCACTTCCAGATTCCTGAGTCACCCCACAAGGTGGCCTCGGTGACTTACTCCTCTTAGCTGTGACATTCCT